TTGTACTCATTCATCTCTATCAAAGTAATTTCGTCCATTGAGGATAATAAAGAGAATACTCTCCATAGTGGTGTTATGCAATCAAGCTCTCATTATTTCGTTTTCTGGCATTCTTCAGTGCTCCATGATACTCAGAGGTGGTAGCAAATTTGTATTTGGGACTGAACTAACAATAGTAGGTATTCAGGATCACAAGTTAACTTCAATGCCATCTTTTGTAGAAGGTGTGCATGTAGTACTCGGCTTTCTCACATGCCCAAATATTAAGACAGGAAGATGACTGAATTCTTAAGGTGCCCAACTTTTCTCTGGTCACACCTTCTTCAAAGGAATGAACATATTTTTTCCATCATTTAAATCTATTATTATTATTATTTAATTTATTTACTACTTTTATAATACTTAAGTTTCTATCAACACAGCATGAAATGCATGTTATTTGAATGACGTAACAGAGCAAAAAAAAAGTATCCTAGATAACTTCAAATAAGCAACAGATTTGTCGTTTGTTGCTATTTGTCAATTCTCAAGTAGTCCCATTAGGTACCCATCCTACATCACCCATATTTGTCAGTTCAGAGACATCCCTACTCCTTTTCATGTTGCATTTTTTGCGTTTTGAAGTGAGCATAATATGTCCTTTGATGTAAGATGCATGGCCAACTGAGGTTTATCCTAGAGAATTCTTTGACACTTTATCATTTATAAAAAAATATTTATTAGATCAGCAACGACATTGTACGATTAATGCACAGAGCCTTACGAGTTTAGCATTCAAAACTACTTCAAGGGGTTTCCGGGCTTTAAACATTTTAGGCTCGATAAGAACCACGAAAAAAAGAGAGTAAATTACTTACATTAATTAACTCCTTGCGAGCATCTTGCAACTCATCGTTGCTTTTTCTTTCCTGAATAATGAGAGCTTGATTTAACTCCTTGCGAGCTTCATTTTAGTGATTTAAGTAAAAATAGAAAACAGGACACATTACCTGTTGATCTTCTGCCAACCGTAAAATATTTTCATCTGCTTTCTTTTGCTTCAAGGTTGCTCTCTTATTCTGAGAACAAGACAAATTTATTACAGTCGTTGACAAATAATTCAAATGTCTATTATCCAACTGACTTCAGCCCCAGCCAATACATTAACAAAAGCTGATGTTAACCCTCTAATCATAATAATAAATCACACTATATTCCACAAAATTCAGCCAGAATCAATCACAAGAAAGGAAAATACACTGCCATTTCCTTCTCAGAGTAGAGCTGCTTTTTCTCATTTTCATTTCGGGCCTCTCGTTTCTCCAATTCTTTCTCACGCTGCTCGAGCTCTTTGCTCTGAGCTGCTAATTGCATTGTAATCTTTTCATGCTCCTTGAAAATTCTTTCAAATTGACCGCGAGCGTTCTGCTGCATCTTCCTAATTTCTATTTGACATAAAGTTTTAAACATAAAATACAGAAATCCATTGTTAACATGATATTTGATAGAAAAAATCAACAAACTAATTAATTATGGCATACCAGTGCCATGGTTAGGCTAGGTCCTAGCTAATACCTTCATTATAAGCTTCGTGCATCTCATCTTTTTGAGTCATCAAAACGGTTAGCGACATAGAAGTTTCATTGTATTTACACTCAATCTCCTTGAGGCGTGTATTTTTCACCTCAATAACATTAGTCAGATTTGTCAAAAGTGTTTTAGTTTTTCGCTTATCTTCTACTTCAATGTCACAAATAGTTTTCAATTGACACACAGGGCGTACATTAACCATGAAAACTTTCTCTACTATTGACAATGACACATCTAGCACTGCCTATGTTACCAGTTAAATTTCTTCAGAACAGGACTGTACCTGGGTTATCAATCCATGGGGTTTTCCACTTGCCCTTATAGTTGGGGTTCTTGATTTTCTGAAGCACCACAAATCTAAAATTAGAAACTGCAACAAAATAGGGTAAAAAATATCATCCACCTTTACAGGTAAGCTTGTGAGTGAGTAAAGGAAATTTTACAGATTCATCAGAAGAAGAATCAAAAAAGAAAAAGTAAAAATCAACTTAGGTGACTCAATACACATGCTAGCCTTCAATTTACAAAAATTCTATCATCTTAGGTGACTTCAAATACATTGGTGAGCCACAACCAAACCTCTCAATCATTTTTCTAACAATTATATGATCATACTTAAAGTGTTTACATATATATCTAACAATAAATGAATAAATGTATAAACAATCATTTTTCTCACTTATAGCAATTCTGGTTCAGGGACATTTGCAGATCTGTGAAGATCGGCGGAGGAGGAGGCGGCGGTGTGAAAAGAGGGCATCGATGGAGGTGGTAGCGGAGGCAGTGGTGGTCGCAACAGCCACGATGGCGATGGCGAAGAAGGAGGAGGAGGTGCTCCGGTTGCTGGCGAATGCGAGGAGGAGCGGCGGCGGGACGGCGACGCAGCTGGACTCCTCAACCCTTCATCTTTTGAAACGAAGAGATGACCCTAATATTTCATTGGAGAGGTATTGATCTCACCCGTTGGTTCTTCAAGTGATCTCCGCCAATTAATTTGTAAAACCCTCCAAAATTTCAAAAAACCCTCCAATATTTTTTATTTTCCAATCGCCACCTAAAGCGTTTTGGTAGCCAAATCTCTACCTACGGCGACTAAAATTATTTTTCGCCGCTGAAAATAAACTATTGGCGAAAGGTAAAAAATATTTTTTTATTTTCCAATCGGCGACTAAAGTGTTTTAGTAGCCAAATCTCTACCTACGGTAACTAAAATTGTTTTTCGTCCCTAAAATTCTTTCGGCTACTAAACAATTTAGTAGCTAAAAGTAGCTCTACGGCTACTAAAATTTGTTTTAGTCGCCAATTGTGATATGTTTAGCTACTAAAAATTTTTGAAGTCGCCAATTGTAATATTTTTAGCTACTAAATTTTTTTTAGTCGCCAATAATCAACATTCCCCTACTAAAAAAAATTAGTAGCTAAAAAGTTGACTTTTGCCGACTAATATTATTTTTGGAAGCCAATTCCGACACTTTTGGCGACTAAATTGTTTTTGGTAGCCAAAAATGGTCGCCAAAAATATATTTTCTTGTAGTGTACCCTATTAAACCACCCCTGAACGCATCCCATTAGGGTCGGGAAGAGTCGGGGTCATGACTGATCAGGGTATTTTACCATCCCTAGTCATGCATAATAATATTCTTCGGTATGAATTTTGTTATTACCCAACACAATATTTTCCTCTAGCTACAATTTTTGTTTTCAAGAGTTATATCCATAAGCAAAATCTTGCTTCTTGAATAAATTTCATCATTATGTAGCGCTAGAATTGCTCTCACCAAGACTGCTTTTGCAAGCTTCTCTTTTTTGTTTTTGTTTTTCTTCTTTAACATAATTAATTTTCCTTCTCTTGGCGATGAGTTGATTATAAGAAGCCTTACAATTGTATTCTTGACCTCGTGACTCTGTTTATTTTTTGGATGAATATGAGTGAGCTTTCAATCTAAAATATGTAGAGGAATGCTTTGGGTGGTTGTGTGATCGTCATATATCCGTACACTGCAGAAAAAAAATTGCCTTTACCGGCGTTTCAAAAATGCCGCTATAAGTGGTAAAAACGCCGCCAAAGGCAATGCCAACGTTTTTACATTACGTTGCTGATACGGCCGTCGCTATAGGTATAAGGCGTTTTATAAACGTCATTGATACTTATAGTGACGTTTTCATAAACGTCGGTATACCATTTAATTTGCTTAAATAATTCAGCCAAATATAATTGATGACGTCACAGTTTATAGTGGCGTTTTCAACAAAAATGCCATCTTTTTTTCCTTTATTTGTTAATTTAATTAATATAAAATATGCTATGAGGTGGTTATTTACATTCCATTCACATTCCAATTTGCACAAAACACATCATACCAGAAAATAAGAATAAAAGTTGATAAAACCATCAAATTCAATATTTTACAAAACAATTCGACTGTACATGTTCATAAAAAGCATATAAAGCATATTTAAGTTATAAAATTTATCCCAATCTTTAAAAAACAAAAAAAAAAATCTGAAATTCACCAATTAGCACACCTGGATATTTAAATGCTCTTACCAAAAATTAAAAAAATAAAAAATTTATGTTTCTTTGAATAATTTTGATCAAGTTGTACACACTATTCCTGAAGGAAAACTTGTTTCCATCAGTGAAGGACATACTGACTTTTGTAGAGCCAGTGTTGTTCTGAGGCTTTCTGGTTATATCTCTCACTTTCTGTTTCTTTGAATAATTGGATCCAGTCAATTTTCTCGCACTGTTTTTTGAAGAATCATCCACTGTGGTAATTGAAGACAAATCCACCCCTTTCTATACCTTTCCAAGAGTTCTCTTTCTGGAACCATCTGTTGAGGCCAGAGTTCTCTCCTTCTGCAGAACTTTCCTTCTGCTCAAGAGTAGCTCTAATGCTTGTCTTTCCTTATTTTGTCCATCATCTGGGAACTTTATGTGGTTTCTAATTGGAGTTCTAATTTCATCATCAATCTCATGTTCTCTAGTAAAAGGAAAATTTTAAGTAATTAATTTGCAAGCCACTGCAGAAAAAATAAAGGAGAGGAGCAAAAGAATAAGGGCACTTACAAGTAATAAATCAAAATACGGTTTGGAATAAGACCTTCCCAAGCCCTTTGCAGGATGCCCTCATCCTCCAGATCTTCAAAAGTAATATTCTTGATCAAAGTAAACCAAGCATCAACCATTGAAAACTAGTAGTTAAATTAGACCATACGTTTTCATGATAGCATTCGGAAACAGGTGGAACATTGTGGAAACATTTAAATGGTTACCCAGCAAGCATTTTCGGTGGTACGACTTGGGACAACGTCTGCAAACTGCAAATTGCAAATCAGGATCCAACTTATTTTTATGGTTTTCATGATAGCATTCAGAAATAGGTGGAACATTGTGGAAACATTTAAATGGTTACCCGGCAAGCATTTTCTGCGGTACGACTTGGGACAACGTCTGCAAACTGCAAATTGCAAATCAGGATCCAACTTATTTTCACCCAATTTGCAGACAATGCATTTATGAATGGGACATGTGAAAAATTCCCCAGAAGCTATCTTCTTCCGAAGCTCTTCTGCCTCAGCTGCACTCTTACGGTGGAACAGTTTTGCAACACAATGTGGATGGTAAAAGAGACCACATGTTGCAGAAACACAGGGAAAGACCCACAAGGCATTTAGAAGGTAAAATTTTGGGCAAATCAGATGCAGATCCAATCACTGCTCACAATGAGGTCAAGGAAGTCAAGCAACATAACTCATTATAGAAATGTGAATTGGCATGCTAATATATTCACCTCAATTATGGAATTCTAATCAATTATTTGAAAACTAGATGGAATTAATAATCCAGAAATACATATTAAAATCAAATCAGGAAAATAGAAGTGAATAGACTCATAAATAAACTCAAATTTCTAATCTGTGTCTTTGGGAAAAGAAAAACAAAAATACAACCCTACAACCAGACTTCTAGAACAAATAGAAAAAAATAAAAATAAAAATTGATCACCATCAAAATCTCTTTACAAAGCAAATAAAATAAGCAAAATAGCTTGAAGAATAAGGAACATAAAACCAAAGAGTGATCCAAAATACAAAGGGCAAGACCAAACTATCCCAAGAAGCATCTAGACACCCTAATGGAACTCAAGCTAGCAGATCAAAGGAGCCAAGCATACAGACAGCATTATGAAGACTAAGATATAAGTTTCATGGAAAATAAAAACCATAAAAGAGGAGAAGGATGGGAGGGGAGGGAGGGAAGGAGAATTATGCAACACAAAATCATCCAATATGACTTCACACTAAGCATCTCCAGGGATTGATTGACTCATTAATAATTTAAAATAATTATTCTATCTCATTTCAAAATATTTGTTGAAATTTAACCAAGAAGATTATTTTAAATGTTGCTCTAGAAACACTAAGTGGCTAAATTTTGCTCTTGATGGAATACCTTCAATTTTTATAATGATAATAGCTAAACTTAACCAAAAAGAATTCTATGAAGATCCAATGGGGAAAATGTACAGTCAACATTAAAATATTAGTTCAATTTTCCAGAAGAACTTCTACCTCTGCACCAGACAATTTATCAGAAGAACCTAATTCCCCACAAGAGAAATACTGGTGCTGCTTCTTTTGATAGTTCTCACATAAAAAATTTTGTATTGCCTATAAAATACATACATCACATGTACTTCAAAACGTGCCAACAATCTATCAAACAGCATTAACAACCAAAACAATGCAAGCTAAAAGAGAATAAAAAGTAGAAACCAAAGGATAGCGTACATCTACTAGTTCATCAGAAAGGCAGAGAGATCCACATATGGATTCAGAACCAGCTTCAACAGTGGCATGAAACGACCTCATGCACATTCCTTCACAACTGCATGGAATCAAAATAATACAGTTACTTGGATCAAATGATGAATGGATGGGGTGGACAGGATGGGGTAAGTCTTAGTTTCAAATCTCCTAGCACAAAGGAAAAGGAAATCGATAAATATATATTAAACTCCACAAAAGAACTAGCACGTATGCAAGAGAATCATCCAACAACAAAAGATATAGATGAAACTTGTCGATTGAACTAGCTATAAATTCTGTTAAAAGCATCAAAAGAAAAGTTTATCTATTTAGTTTTTTTTTTTTTTATCGATATCTACTTAGTTGAACAACTATACAATAAGCTCAAAAAAATTGGACATTTTAACCTGTCCGTTGGGTATTATACCCCTTTAAAAGATCTCTTATTTCTCTCATTTGAAGGACTCAAAATCAAGCAAAATGGACCACTCTCAACAGTTACAGTTCCTCACTCCTTCAACTATCCCATGGCAGAATTCATCATTTCTAGTTGGAAGTTGAAACTATTGAATGCAGTAAATTTCCACAGACTTTAGTTTCTTTTCTAATTTAACATTTTCAACACAAAAAAAAAATTAAAACATTTGAACATAAGTTTGGAAAAGAAATGCTAACATCAGAATTCGCATGTGAAATTATCCACAGTAGCTCTATTGAGGAAATTAATCTCCAAACATAACTAGTAAGAAAAAGGGAGGGGAGGAAAAAAGTAAAAATCCAAACAAATTCTTAGCATAAAGTATAAATTTGTGTATTTGATGAGTCTAATAAAAGTAACTAGAATTGAAGAGTTAGGAAAAATCAAAGGTTCTACAAAGACCAAAATAATAAATAGAGCACCAAATCTGGACTTCTAACCTTGTATGTCATCCATAATCACCAAGAAAAAGAAAGCAAAGTGCAAATTCATATCGCTTACCTTTCACATGTCTTGGTCCATTGTGCTTCGTGTGGGGTAGCAGCTTTTTAACATTGTAATGCCAGTGATGATAGTCAAGAGCATGAAGGGCACCCCACACACAGCCTGGTTGATTATCCCCAATTTGCTCATCAATATCTTTGGTCCACTAGTGTTTTCCCATTTACAACACTACAAGCAAAATCCTTGAAAACCCACTTACTAAAGGAATTCAGTGACTATCTTCTTCAATCTGATAGACATAATTAAGAAAATTCCATGTAAATAAATATGTTGATTGCCTAGCATATGAAATTTAGAAAATAAATTCCAAATTACTAGCAGCTCAAATCACATAAAGCTTGTCAAAAATCTTAAACAGAACAAAAATCAAACACCATGTGAGCAAGGCTTTGACACAAGCTTTTCACGTACCTTGTACAAAATCCAAGCAGCAACATCACTTATTACAAAATATCCATGCCTAAAAATGGTAAATGTTTATTTAATTTTTCATTTTTCAATTATTTTATCATTGTTAGAAATTGCCTGTAAATTTCTACAATTACAAAAAATTCTGATAATCAAGCATGAAAAACAGACATAAAGAGTTCAAACACACTCTAAAAGTTGATGATCACCTAGAAAAGATCCAATTAGCATGTTCAATAACTCTTAATCAAACTAAGGAGTCTAAAAGAGAAAACAAGAACTATGCAAACTATACAAAAAAAGAAATGTACAATTGATGGTACCATGAATAAAGTTGAACGAAAAATGTTTAAAACATTTCTTAAAAAAAAAAAACAAATACAAAAACAGAGACTTAGTCATACCCTTGAGAGGCGAGAAGAACAAGAACAAGAATATCCAAGGTCATATCTTCCATTTTCATATATAAGAAGAAGAAGCAAACTCCAAAATTTCTCAGTCGCACTTTACCAGTCAATTACGCACAAAAACCAACACTCACAGAACCTGTACTATACAAAACCACAACCATTCAGAAAGATGAAGTCAATGTTGATTAATGTGATGGACCAACAAACATTTTTGTGAACTTTCATAAGAAAAAACTTACAGATCACCATAAGAAAAAACTTACAGATCATTAGAAAAAACACACAGAACCTATACTGTACAAAACCACAACCATTCAGAAAGATGAAGTCAATGTTGATTAGTGTGATAGACCAACAAAGATCACCACGAACGAGTCAGAAATAGAGTCGATTTGAGGATGTTAATATGCTTTGAGATCATAGATCAATCGATCGATCGATAATCGATCTGTGTTCTCTCTAAAATAAATTAGTGTATATATATCAAACAGATCTGAGATTATAGATACAAATCTGAGATCATAGATACAGATTTGAGTTTCGTACATAAACAAAATCAAAAAATCGAAAAATGAGACTCACAAAATTAATCTTCAAATCGGAGTGATCGAGAGCTTTGAGCCAAGATGGAGAGAGCCGGATAGAGGTTACGATCGTGAATCGGAGCCTACGATGCTCAATCTAGTGAACTTTCACCATACGAAAGAGTAGTGATGAAGAAAACCCTAGATCTATCTCCGGACTGAGAGAAACACGTGGGCTAAAAAAGGAGAAATTTGTGAATACACCTAGCACGCGTGTTTTTTAAATGAGTTGCTTACAGAATATTTTGAAAATCGTTTTGAGACAACATTTTTTTAAAAAAACGCCATAACAAAAACGTTGTTATAGGCCAGTTTTGTTGTAGTGTTAAGATTTAAAAAAATAAAAAAATAATGGTAAATTACAAATACACCGCTTGAGATTTGTTTAAAATACGAATTGCCCCTTGTGGTTTGGAAAATTACAAATACCTCCCTGTCAGAATTTTTTAGTTAACAGAATTAATTAAAAAAATGAAATTTATAACTGTTCACCTATACAATAATAAAATTATCTGAATTATTAAATGAAATAAAATTTAACATTATTAAAAACTGTTAATTAACTTGATGATTTATGAATAAAAGGACTTATTTGTTATGAAATTAAAAACATTAGGGGACATAATGTAATTTTTAGAACCACAATGAGTAATTTGTAATTTAAGTAAATCTCAAAGAGTGTGTTTGTAATTTACCCAAAAAATAATAATAATAATTCATAAGACAGTATAAGACAAACTATGCTTTAAAATAGAGAGTGTTGGGCAATCTAAAATCAAGAAACAACATATTAGCAAAATAAATATAGTTGAGATGAGAATACAAAGATGGATGTGTGATAAAAGTGGGAGAGACAGGGTTAGGAATAAATAAAATCGTGAAATGATAGAGGTAGCACCTATTGAAGACTATTAGAGTAAAATATGGTTGATTGAAAGAAGATTGTTAGAGCAAAATCTGGTTGATTGATTGAAGATCCTTAATCATAGCATAAGAATATTGTATACTGATTCTTTCCTAGTTTAGCTTCTCTGTATCACTATATAATCAGTTATGTGTCCTTGTAAAACATTCTTTCAGAAATATAGCAATATTTTCCCATTCCTTCTTCTTGTAAACTTTACATGGTACCACAGCAAGGTTTTCAAACCCTTTTTTTTTTTCTTCAGTCGCCCTTCATTTTCTCTTCCAGCCAACCATGGGAGATACTACCGATATTACTGGTTCTAATCTCAAAGAAGGCCTTGACCTGCCAAGCTGTTATTATTTCCATCACTCAGATAATTCAACCACCAAGCTTTGCTCACAATTGCTAGATGGCAAAAATTGGGCAACATGGAGCAGGACCATTGAAATTTTTCTTTCTGTTAAGAACAAACTAGGTTTTATTACCGGGAGGTTCAAAAAGCCTTCCAGGTCTACCAATCCAGATAAGTTCGACCTATGGGAAAAAGCCAACCATATGTTGATTTCATGGCTTTCTCACTCGGTATCACCCAATCTTGCTCCGAGTGTCCTCTTTGCTTCCACAGCCCAACATGTTTGGGATGACTTTCGAGCCCATTTGCCTCAAGAAAATCTACCTCGAATATTTCAAATCAAGCATTCCATTGCTTTACATGTTCAGGGAACTATGTCAGTTGCAAACTATTACACAAAGTTACGTGGTTTTTGGGTTGAGTTAGATTCTTATCGTCTTTCGTCCACGTGCGATTGTTGTCAATGTGGTGAAGGAAATAAGAGGCATGCACATCATAATGAGGATCGGCTCATGCAGTTTCTCATGGGCTTCAACGTTTCTTACAATTCCATTCAAGGTCAAATACTACTTCTACAGCCGGTACCTGATATGCAAGAAGCCTAGAACATGGTAACCCAGGATGAGAAACAGCGAGAAATTGGGAGCAATTTGCTCACCAAAACTTTTTCAGCTGCTACTATGTGGTTTTCTAAAGGCTCCAATTTCAATCACAAGGCCTCCAGTAACTCATCTTTTCCTCCCAATTCCAATACTGAAGGATTGTTTTGCAGATATTGCGAAAATAATACACACAGAATTGAAACCTGTTATAAATTACATGTGAAAAATCTAGAAATCCCCTAGATGTTGATTTGTGATTATGTATCAATTTTAAGCAGAATATAACAATCCCAATCAAACAATCAAGACAAAGAGACACAACGATTTAACGTGGAAAAAACCACAATTGGACACCTCCAACTGTGATCAAAAAACCACGGGCAACAGCCACAAGACAATCCACTAAGAAGAATTAAAGGAATTACACAGGTATACTCTCAATTACCTAGCGAATCCACAACGCCTAATTGAACCAACCTTTATGTGCCTCTTCCAACCCCATCTTCACCACGGAATTGTCTTTCTGATGAGCCACTCTGGATTCCACCACAGCTTCAGGCTCGAATTCTTCAGAATACACAACTGAAGAACAACACTCTCTTTTGTAGAACAAAACACAACCTTTGATGTACTCTCTTTAGAACATGAGTTGAAGACTCAATCAAAACATCAAAGAAAACTAGCAAAATCTCTCCAAATCTAAACCTTAAGATCCAAAAATAAGATCTGGAGAAGTTTCATCAATCGCTTAGTTTTGGGAGAAAACCAAGTATTTATAGAGAACCAAAGCAATCCTAATTTCATAAGAAAACTAACTCTTTAATCAAATCTGGAAATCTGGATCGCGCGGTCCGCTCGAGCTCAACACAGCCCGCTTGAGCGGACTGACCAAAAGCTACGTGCGAACAAACTGAGATGCGCTCGAGCGTAGGAGAATCTGCTCGAGCGTAAAATCACACCCACCAGTATTTTTTGCTTGCCCTGACAAAATACTGAGACCTGCTAATCTACGCTCGAGCTCACAAGGCTCCGCTCGAGCGGACAGAACAAAAACACAAAAAATTACATTTGAATCAACACAATGTTTTGTCTCCGAATTTGACAACATAGGTAGTACCTTCTCTGAAAAGCACAATTCGGGTTGGATTCGCATCTAACAACTCATAGCCTCACTGAAATAAAAATGCGAAAATAAATACATCTGAAAGGAGTTTTGTCAAACGGGAATGCCAAGAAATAAAACCTAACAAACATCATAAAGCTACAATGACGGCAACATTGTCGACGTTTGGTACTAAACGTTACAAAAAGAATTAGCAAACATACCCTTAGACTTCTCTTCCAGAGATTTCTTTCTTTTTCTTTTTCTTTTTTTTTTCTTTTTCTTTTTTCTTTTTTCTAAGCTGATAATGTCAAAAGAAAACGGCAATGGTTTGCTGCCTTACATTGGAGTTGGACTCATTTTATCTGATGAATTGACTTATATGATTTGATTAGGCCCAACACGTTCAAGACTTTTAAAGTTACAAATTTTTATAGAAGTTAAGATTTTTATAGTGAAAACTATTAATGATGAAACTATAGTATGCATCTTTAAAATTATTAATGACAAAGTTATATTTTTTATGATAAAAATTATATTTTTTTGTATAAAATGTATTCTAAAGAGGGTGCACATGATAACCTTTTCCTTAAGTTTAATTATAGGTTACAGCAATGCACCTGTAAAATGTATTTAAAATTAAGTGATCACAAAATCAAATGTAGTAGAATAAATTTATTTTTATGTGTGATTCATAACAAACTAATTTAAATTTGTAATAATAAGTTTATTTTTATTAATACTTTAACAATTTTGGTGTGGTTTATGCCTTCTGTTATGAGAATTTTTTTAAGATGATGACGAAGAAGAGGGAAATGTTTTGCGGCATTAGACTCGATAATCTGATTAATTGACCTGTATGACTCAATTTATTTATTAATTATTTCTTTTGGATATACTGAAAGTGAAAGAGTAATTGGACATGTGACCATTTAGTGAGGTACACGGTTCTAATTTCTTATATTAGCTTATTTGGTATTTGATAAAGTTGAAAATTAAAAATTAAGTATTAAAAATTGAATGTTGAATTTTTTAAGTTAAAAAATCGTTTGATAAAAATTTAAGTGTTGAATTGAAACAAGTTGCTTGATATATATATATATATATATATATTTAAGTTCAAATTTGAAATTTATTATTTTTAAATTGTATCTTTCAATTTTATATTATGATATGGTAAGTTGGTGGTGGTAGAAGAGACGGCGGTGTTAGTTATGGTGCTGATTGCAATAATGATGAAAGATGGATAATGGTTGTAGTAATGGTGGAAAGGTAATGTCATGGAGATAAAAATAAAAAATAAAAGGGTGACAGCGGCGATGGCAATGGTTGTTGCAATAGTTACAATAGTTGTGGAGGTGAAGGGTTGTTGTAATTGTTATAATCATGGTAATAATGGCGATGCCGATTGTGGTTGCGATAATAAAATTATAATTGTTCTTATAGCAACAATGACAATAATGATGAAGGTGGTGGTGGCGGTTGGCGTGATGGTCAGGGTGGTGGTGGTGGTGGTGGCTGTGGTATGTAAGTAAATTTCATATAACTTAAAATTTTCTTAACTAAAAGTTTACATTTTAAATGACACTTAAATTTTTAAGTAATATCAATTATTGTTATTAAACGAGCTTAATTGATTGTCATTTAACACATTCAATTTTAAGTGTTAAATCAGGTTAATTTGGATGACTAATTAGGCCTAACATGCCTATATGCCACCCCTAGGCCTTCACATCTGTTAGGTTTTTATTCTTGGCAATCCCGTTTGACAAAACTCCTCTCAGTTGTAATTTTATTCGCTCTTGTATTTCAGTGAGGATATGAGTTTTAGATGCGAATCCAACCCGAAT